GGGGTAATATAGCGGTAGAAATTAAAGTGTATAAAGTGACGCCAATTAATCGGAAGTTGCCATTTGATATCCTAGTCTCTAAATCTGAATCAGTGAATAGTCACTAATTATCCAGTGACATACTTAGCACTGATAATCAATGAAGTTCAATTAAAAAAGAAAGTATATTTGAGCATTATATAAAATAAATAAAATATTGATATACCAAAGCTGTATTCGGATATACATTGTCAATGCTGAAAATTTATAATACGAAACATGAACTACGTAAATTTTTAATTCTAAGATTGATATTGGCTTTGTTGTATGATAAATTTTTCAAGCATGTTGATTAGTTGCAGCACAAAGAAGTTTTCGAAGGACAAAAAAACGAATGTCTTAACAATATATATCGGAATACAATTCAAGTTAGATAGATTATAAACTTGAAACTAGAGCACTTTACCATGTTAATTGGAATTTTTTATTTATATTATAAATTATTTTCGATTTTTTTATTAGAAAGAAATGATTATTTATTATTAATGTTATAAAAGTAAATATGTAAGCTATCTCATGATTTAATTATAACTTGCATGTAATTGTTTAACCTAATTTTTCCAGTATTCCACTGGCAGGCAACAATCATGGGACCAGTAAGTAATGCAATACTTTATGCAAATTTTTAATTTTAACATTTGCTTTTTGCAAATAAGAATTTATACAAATTACATAGGATCACAAAAAAATTTTTAGAGAAAACCAAACCAGGGGTGTTTTTTCTTTTGGATCGCTGAATCTGAATTCCTAAACTGTTTTACTCTATTACATCCAATTTTTTAATCGAGAAAAATTATGGAAAATCTATGAAAATTTAAACATTTGAAGAAATAGCAAAAGTAAATATGACATTAAAATGCAATTGCAGGACTGATTAAATATATTTTGGTAAGTTAAACAAAATGCAAAAAACTAAAAAATTTTGTTTTATTAATGTTAGGTATAACTTAATACGTCATAAAACAAACTCGTGTAAAATATCATTGTGCAACAAATAATTAGGCAACCTGCATGAGTCATGAAAAGTTATTTCGGTTTCAGAAATAGGTATTTTAATTACCTCTAGAACATAAAATAACAATTAAAATATCCATTTTTGAAATTGAAAAAACCTTCCATGACTCATTACCTAACTGTTTATTGTATAATAGTACTTTATATGAATTTGTTTTATAATATGTTAAATTATAGTACCTAACATTAGTAAAATAAAATTTGTTTTTGTTCTTACACTTTTGTTTAATTTATCAAAATATATTTAAATTGGTTCTTTTTTTATCACATTTTAATGTGATATTTACTTGTACTCATTCAAATATTTCAGCTTTTAGATTTTTCATCATTTTTCTTGATTATCTAAAAACTGGACATGATGGAGCAAATGATTTTTGGAGTTTTTTGGATTCAATCCAAAATCTATAAGAAACATGTATTCTGTGATTTGTATTTCTCTCCAAAAACTTTGTTTGGGGTTTTCTAATTATTAACTGTATTTGTATAATGAATGTGAGATCTTTTATATATTATATTAAAATGTGAAAAGATTTAATTTTTGACAATTATACATTGGTTATGTACGATATACATATACTGCCAGTACTGAAAATCTACAATATACGTAAGGTAATATAAATTAATATAAATTTTCACTGGCAGTATAGCGGAATACAGTCATTATATACTTTATGTTTCTTATGCTATGATTTTTTAAATATATTTAATAAATATTTTGCTCATCAAAATTAATATATTATAGTATAGAATTTTATTATAAATAATTATTTAATATGTTATGTTTCTTTAATTTCTTATTACAGCCTGACAGTCCGTATCAAGGAGGAGTATTTTTCCTAACAATACACTTTCCAACAGATTATCCTTTTAAACCTCCTAAGGTACATATTACAGTTGAAATGTTTATTGTATTTTGTAAAAGTAAAGAATACAAATAAATGTCCGCCACAAATAATATTATTTACTATTTATTTCCAGGTGGCATTCACGACTAGAATTTATCATCCTAATATCAACAGTAATGGAAGTATTTGTTTGGATATTTTACGATCTCAATGGTCTCCCGCACTCACTATATCAAAAGGTACGCGTGTTTCATGTAATATGCATTTGGAAAATATATTATATTTTATATCAATAATTTTCTAATATTATTAATCATTTTACAGTGTTATTGTCAATATGCTCCCTGCTGTGCGATCCAAATCCAGATGACCCACTGGTACCAGAGATAGCCAGGATATACAAAACCGACAGAGAGAAGTATAATGAATTGGCACGTGAATGGACGCGCAAGTATGCCATGTGATGCGCCAATCTCCATTGACTTCAACATCCAAACACCACCAAGAAACAGCCCCAGCCTATTGCCACTTATGCATCAGCACCGATTGAAATTAGCTATGGCTCGTATACTTTTAAACTTAAGCAGTATTCGGGCCCGAGGAATCCTCAGGCAAACGTGATCGATCTGAACTTCTCGCGGTTCGTCAAGACCGCGGAAAACGTTGCCACAATGGCAATTGAGGCAATTTTGAAGGTGGTCATCCAGCATTATATATACTGAATCAGACAACACATGTCCGCTTTGTTTTTTCATAAATAAAAAAAAATGGAAGTAACATATAGGAGAGTGAAAGTAGGATTTGTATTTGAATCTAATAGATTGGTTTCTAATTATTGTGCTTATGATAATTGTAACATTACGATACCTACTTTCTCAGTGAAACTAAAAAAACTTTGAACTGACAGCACATCGATTGTTAGTCTTAACGCAAGTGAGCAATGTTTGCCCGTCCCTTGAAACGATGTGGTCACTCTTTTGTAAGACTGGGCTATATATATATATATAAATATTACTGAAACTGTACGTGTATGCTTTGTTCAATTATTAAAATTCCTTATACCTGACAAATTCTACGAGTAACTCGAAATCTGTGCTTTTGGTTCCTGTGTGTGTGTGTAGTAATTTAATTATGCATATCGTTAATCGGCAAGTGGCAACCGTGCAACTTTAAGTA